TCTTCATTTTTTGTTTGGTTAGTGAAAAATAACAGGAAATAACTTAATCTTCGTAAACAATTGATTTTGATTGCACTGGACCAAATTTAATTCTATGACCTTGCAGTAATAAATTATAAGTGAGAATAGCATAAGAATTGTATATCCTGTTTTGTAGTATATCGTACAATAAAAAAGCGAACTACTTTCCGTCGTTAATTTCACAGCACATGGATGAGATTCGCAAGGCTTCTAAATTGCCGCATAAGAAATACGGGACGATCTATTTTCTTTATCGTTCATCCGAATTGCTTTTCAATGTGATGATTTTAAAATTTTACGTGATCCTAAGATTATTTAGTTTGCATGAAAATTTCTAACGCGGTTCGTGCAGAATGTTTTCGGCAGAGATGCACCGCTGCGATACCAGCTTCCGCTGGTCCTCCTACACCCAAAAAAAATGCATGGGTCAAGTTGTGCAAATAGCGACACGCTTTCTGCACGTAGCACTGATACATCCCGTCACCAGGGGCAAACTGGGTCAGGGTGACAAAAAAAAGACAAAAAAGTGTAAAAGTGTAAAAAAGGACAAAAGTGTGTCGTTATTTGCACTGTCTCGTTTTTCTGAGTATACAAGTAAACTCTGATATTTTTTTCGCCTCATTCCATCCATCATAATTATTATGTTTTTTTCTTTCTCTCTGCCATTTGCATTCCACTGAGGATAATACTAATATGAAAAATATCGTCACCGTGAATTTTAAAGAATAAATTAGTGTTGAGCAGTAAAAAATATTGTAAAAAATCTGAAAATTTTGCAGGGCATTACAAAATATAATGGAACCTTATATAGACCATCCATGCATTACGAATATTGATTAATTAGGACCATCAGGGGTCTTGATAGTTGCGAAATTCCGCTTTTGAAGGTAAATTTTATTTAAACTAAAACAACTGCTAATACCTCCATTAATACATTCGTTTTTACAATTCATGTTCAAGTCACTCTTGATGAAGTATAAGAATAACGTAGAGTAAAATATTAGTTAATATATGCAAACTCTCAATTTTTACATCTTTCTAATAAATTATGAATACTTGAACATTACTCAAAGTCCACATTGTATCTAAGCATCACAACAAAGGTTATTACAACCTTTTACTATTCGTACCTGAATATATCCAACAGCTATAAAAAATAATCAACTCCAGCTAACCACGATGCTGAGTTTTCTGTAATTTGATCTTAATTTATTTTTATTCCGCTTCATGAACGTGAAAATACACTAGTAATTCTGACAGCTCGAATTACTCAAGAATTATATACTCACCCTACGTGTAATTACTCACCTATACTCACCCCCTATCTCATCCTATAAATGCCGCCAAACTATTACTGACAAAACGGCGCACAAATCCCACTTTTTGCATCTTTTGAAGAAAGACAAAATATGTCATCCTATGAAGCATCATTATATGAGGAAATTAAATTTATTATTAATTTGTTGGTGTTGTTAATAGATCGACAATCCACTGAACTGATATAGGCTATAAGTGATGAGGTGAGATGGTTCTTGGTAAGGGAAGATGGTATGTGATGTGGGATGAGTGGTTCGTGGAGAGGATTGGTTGTTCACGATAAGATATATGGTTCGTGGAGAGAGAAGATGGTTCGTGGAGAGAGGAGATGATTCGTGGAGAGAGAAGACGGTTCCACCTCTCTCTTCCACGTTTGTGGAGAGAGAAGGTGGTTCGTGGAGAGAGAAGACGGTTCGTGGAGAGAGAAGACGGTTCGTGGAGAGAGAAGATAGTTCGTGGTGAGAGAAGATGGTTCATGAAGAGAGAAGGTGGTTCGTGGAGAGAGAAGGTGGTTCGTGGAGAGAGAAGGTGGTTCGTGGAGAGAGAAGACGGTTCGTGGAGAGAGAAGATAGTTCGTGGAGAGAGAAGATGGTTCGTGGAGATGAAAGGTAGTTATTGTGTGAGATAAAAATGCTCTCGAACAACATAGTCTCGTAATTTATTGTGGTGACATTTCGCGAAAATTTCCGCTCCCTTTTTTGCTTTGGGGTCTTAATTACTTAATCACTCAAATTCAGCATAGGTAGACGCGGTATTTTTTGTTGATACCTGTTTTAATATATACTATATATTCTGAAAAATAATTCATGTTAATGCAAATTAATTAATAATACATAAGACCGTAGTCAAAAGCGCTAGTGCGACCAATAAATTGCTTCATTTATCCTATGAAAATCGTTCTAATGTTTAAAACCTGTAGCAACTTCTCCATGCAGTAAGTTTTTTTCTTGTAATTTTCAGCGTATAAGAACAATAAAGAATGACAATCAGCGTTCGTTTTATTAACTGGCTTGGCGACATCCCAATACAACATGCAACAACAAATGAATGATGAATGAGAGTCTAATTCTTCTTCACGAGTTCACGAGTGTGTGCTGTGCGTGCATCTTGCCTGCATGCAACGAATGTTAGTCAATGCTGAATGTCGTCGAGATCACACATGGCCTTATAGCAGTGGTTCCCAAAGTGGGCGATATCGCCCCCCTAGGGGCGATGGAAAGATTTTGGGGGGCGGTAAAGAAGAAGAGGGCGTTTGGGGGGCGATAGGGGGGCGGCATTCGGAAGTCGAAGTCAGACGTTCGAACGTTTGTTTGACGATTTGTGCACAACACGTGCAGCGCATCATAACTCCCAGCGATGGGTTTTTCACCCAGATCTGTTTTTAGCGCATTTACTCATTTATGAAAAAAGGCGCTATTGTGCTCGTCATGTCCGTCCGTTACTCGCTCGTAATGTCCGTCCGTGACTTCACGTTTTCGTCGACGAGAAAATGCCTTCTCTGTCACTCACTGCAGTGAGTACTGAGTTATATTTTTTAACCACTCCTGGGTTTACGTCTCCGACAAATTAACGGCCGGACTCGCGGCCGGTCTCACGGCTAATTTCCAAATTCAATGATCAAGGAATCCCTCTCAAACTAATAAACTTAACTGGATGAAACTTGGTACACGTATTCATTAGGACCGAACGGTAATGTAAAGCTCGTGAAATTTTTTTTAATTTAGCCTTCAATTGTTTTTGCCATACTTATTTGGCAATACGCACGGGCCGAATTCACAGTGATCAAGGAATTTCTTCCAAATTACTGAACAGATTCGGACGAAATTTTGAATTTACAGTCCTAACTACCGAAAGGTGATGTTTAACTCGTGAAAATTTTTTCGATTGTGCCGTCGTTCGCGAGTTTCATTCGTGATTTAAACAGCAATACGTGCTTAAATTCGCAGTAATCAAGAAATGTCTTGCAAACTACTGAACAAATTTGAACGAAATTTAGTATTTTAATATCTAACCTCAGCATCAGTGATGTTTAGCTCGTTACAATTTTTTCGTTTTGCCTTCGTTTGTGAGTTATACGGCTATACGTAAACGGCTCGTGGTTAAACCAGCCGGTAGAAATGCCGATTGTTTCTCCTATATCTGTATAACTTGCGAACGAAAGCGAATAAGGAAGTGTGAAATCAAGAATGACGGTAAAATGAAAAAAAAATCTCTCAAACGATGGTACAATACATTTTTTTTTCAATCTAAGAAACACCATTTGGTAGTTAGGGATGCATATTCAAAATTTCGTTCAAATCTGTTCGGTAGTTTGGAAGAAATTCTTTGATCACTGCGAATTTCGGCCTGTATCGCAATATAACTCCCGAATGAAGGTGATATTTAAAAAATTTTCGCATGCTAAACGTCACCGTTAAGTTCTGATGAATACATGTTCCAAGTTTTATTGAGCTGCGTTCATTAGTTTGGGTGATATTCCTTGATAACTGAATTTGGAGATTGGTCGTGAGACCGGCCACGAGTCCGGTCGTACATTTGCCCGAGACCTCCTAGGTTTCTAGTGCTGAAACAGTTAAAACAGCTGAAAAACACATTGGTTCACTAAAAGGGTCCTATTTGTGAAATACACATTTGTGTTTAACCTTTATCTTTTAAAATTGCAGCGAACTAAATTTTATAGTATGAGGCGCATGATTTTATATGTGTCTGTGGGGGGCGCTAGAAATTCACTAGGGAGCCAAAGGGGGCGCCAGCCTGAAAAAGTTTGGGAACCACTGCCGTATAGCAACCTGAAACCGGTATCGCAGAAATATGTATATGTTCTAATAAAAATAATGCATACTAATAAACTTTGCGCTCTTGAATGATGATGTGATCATTTTTATAGAGTTTCTGTAAATTTTTTCAAGTGAAATTGAAACAAACTGGCTGGGAATAATGATTTTTGAGTAATTTGCATTTCAATAAATTAGGTGGAGCTTACATTCCCGCTTTTTGTTAACATTCACCGTTGCCTCTTTAACTAAAACCTCCATAGTATATGAGCGTGGAATTTAGTCACTTAATCGTCCTAAAATACAGGCTTTGCGGTCGAGTCCAGTAAAGTAAGGCTTTTTGATAGGGTCCAGTAAATTATGTGTGTAAGAAATTCTGAAATAAATGCTGTTATATTGGGGGTATCTATGGCAGCAACATATACAAAACGTTGGTCTGACGGCAGCGTGCCAAACGTACGCTTGGCAGCGCCGTTGTCTTCACTTGAATCTTCAGTGCATCCCTGGCAGTGTGAGTGGTTGGTTCAGTCAAGTTTGTTTCCTCGATTTGCACTTGTTGAAGGTAGTAGTCAGTGAGGTTGAAAAGAACCTGCTCCTAACTTGGCTTTGTAGAGCCATCATGTCACCGAGCCGTCGAGTCGATTCCACTCACCTGGCGTTCAAGAAAAATTGAAGAGTGTAATGCAGAAAGTGCCGGATGCATAATTTTAAGTGGTACAATTTAGTTGAAGTGTTTATTAAGTGTCGATATTGCGTTTGTGAAAATAATTAAGTAAAATTAATTAGAAATTGATAACGATTTGATAGAGAATTGAAGAATTTTGAAACATTGTCACATTTCTAAATTATCTCAACAGTTTTTTAACTAAATTTTTAGAAAGCTATAATTTTTACCTAAATTGAATCGCCGCCCGTTTGGACTTACGGCTCAGCATATTCAGTGCTGCACTGTTACTTCAGAAACTTTTAGTCTGCGGCGTCACGCTGACATCATCTTACTGAGCCGTAGTGCAGTTATATATTCTTCAATTGCAACCGCACTGAGATATATTACCAATTTTAATACCAAACATGTGGGTTAAGTGGTGTTGGTGTGTGGTTACGACCATGTTAGTGGTCTCAGTGGTGGTGAGAAGTGGTGATGCTAGAAGTGACGTGTGTAATGAAGTAGCTCAGCAGTTGATGAACATTGCCGGACCTTCAAGTGACCTGTTGCATCAACCAACCCTCGTTGGCGGTAAGTAATGGCCACCATGCGCGCCTCAGATAAGCAATAATGCAATTATTTGTTATTAGTTTTAATAAGCAATAATTTGCTATTCCATCTACACATCCTCCATGTTGGCTGCGCGCGCAGCACGACTTTCACAAAACGCTCGTGCAAAAATAAAATAAAAAATAAATTAAAAACATCAGCAATGCGTTTTGGAATGTAAAGTAAATTGCCTTTGAATTTAATTACAGTTGAGCAACAAATAAGTTCACAAATCGAAGTCTTATTATACATGTACGGTACAGCATAATTCTAATTAAGAAGGCGTACAACGAATCCCAAGGGGCATACACAATCAGCCACGTGAAATGCGTGATACATTAACCGGATAAATTAATTATATTCATACTGGAGGCCACCATCAGAAGTATTCTTTGTTTAGGTATATGAAAAACATTTTCCCGGCCCAGATAAGTTCAGAATTAACAAGACTACTAAGTAGAACTATGGATAAGTAAGAGTATAATTTCCAATAGACGGTCAAAAAACTGATATTCGCTCGGGCAGGTTTTGGAGTAGCCTTGTTAGGTTTAGTAAAGAATTAAAAATCAGCCTTATTTCAATAGTCTCTTGAAGACAAATACCTATTCAGACATGACGATCTTCACGAGAACATCAGAGAAATGCACGAACACGAATGAAATTCGATGATCACATTTCATTGTGTGCCAAGTTCCGGCGTTCGTTCACGCAGCGTTCGTTGCTCTGAAAAGCTTCTGCCTTGCACGGTCAATATCGCACTGAGAGGAATAAATGGGACTTTTGTCCCAATAAAGGCGTTTTTTGCCCTTATGTGTGGTAATTTTGACCCAGTTTTGCTTGTAAAAAGGACGTATCAGTGATACACGCAGACATTGTGTCACTATGTGCATGCAGTGCGTGTCACTCTGCCAACTTGAACGCCCGCTATTCTCATAAACTATAAGTAACTTCCCTCCCCCCTCCCCCCGTGAACTGAAATACTTGCAAACTATTTCGGAAACTGAGGCTCTCACTCCAGGTAATTAATTCTGAAAGTAGTCATGATTGAGATCTGTAATTTAGTCATTTATGGTCGAAACTAAATAATTTTCTTTTAGCTACGAAAACGATTTTCACTTCCAAACCCTCGAAACTTGAGCAATCTATGTTAAACACTAAACAGTCGAACCCTAAATATCAAACCCATGAAAACGAACCCTCCATGTCGGTCCTTCAAAACTTAATCCCGTCATATCGAGCTCTCGAAACCAAACCCTGCTTTGAAAATTCCCTCAAGTTTTAAACCCTTCGGAAGACTGGAATTCAATTTGGAACTACAGAATGCCAATCTTTCAACTTACAATTCTTCGAAAAATCCAAAATCAGATGTGTTAGTTACAGACTTGTAACCTTAAAGTCCATTGAAACCTACCCCCTCCATCACCAGCATCTATCCATCACCAGCGTTCCTTCATCGGGTAGTGTCGCTCTAGTGCAGGTAGTGCTACTCTAGTGCAGGTAGTGTCGCTCTAGTGCAGGTAGTGCTACTCTAGTGCAGGTAGTGTCGCTCTAGTGCAGGTAGTGCTNGTGTTGTATCATTGGTCCGTGTTGTATCATTGGTCCGTGTTGTATGATTGGTCCGTGTTGTATCATTGGTCCGTGTTGTATCATTGGTCCGTGTTGTATGATTGGTATAAATTACATGTTGTTGCTACATATTTTACTAGCGTTCCATGTTGCTTCGTATTTCCGTATAGCATGACTGTGTTATAGTTCCAACGGTAATTCGTGTTACGCGTTGTATTTGTTCATTATGTAATATATACAATGTATGATTGTTCGACGCGCCATTAATTCAGTGACATGAATGAGCGCCTCTTATGAACGCCAAGACTATGAGCGCCAAGACTATGAACGCAAAGACTGTGAACGCAAAGACTGTGAACACAAAGACTATGAAGCAAAGACTCTGAACAGAAAGACTATGAAGCAAAGACTCTGAACGCAAAGTCTATGAACGCAAAGACTGTGAACGCAAAGACTCTGAAGCAAAGACTCTGAACGCAAAGACTATGAAGCAAAGACTCTGAACGCAAAGTCTATGAACGCAAAGACTCTGAACGCAAAGACTCTGAACGCAAAGACTCTGAACGCAAAGACTGTGAAGTGTGAACGCAAAGACTATGAACGCAAAGACTGAACGCAAAGACTATGAACGCAAAGACTATGAACGCCAAGACTCTGAACGCAAAGACTCTAAACACAAAGACTCTAAACACAAAGACTCTGAACGCAAAGACTATGAACGCAAAGGCTACGAACGCAAAGACTTTGAACGCAAAGACTATGAACGCGCAAGCGAGCCAGTAACGCAAGAAGACCGGCGTTCACGAAGCGTTTTTCTGTCGTCACTAACGACCGCCGGTAGTGACGAGCTGAGGGATGCTTGGCAGCCTCGTCAGGCTGTGCTGCTGTACACGTCAGGCAGTGCTGCTGTGCACGTCAGGCTGTGCTGCTGTACACGTCAGGCTGTGCTGCTGTACACACGTCAGGCTGTGCTGCTGTACACGTCACATGTACACGTCACATGTACGTACACGTCACATGTACGTACACGTCACATGTACACGTCACATGTACACGTCACATGTACACGTCACATGTACACGTCACATGTACACGTCACATGTACACGTCACATGTACACGTCACATATACACGTCGCTGAGATCGTTGGCTCGTGCGCAGCAGGAGGCTGGGTGCCGTGACCGCTCGTCTTCAGCGCACCACAAGGCGCCGAGCACTCAGAGCTCTGAAAAAAACTCTGAAATCAAAGCTCTGAAGAGAAGCTCTGAAAGGAGCTACGGAATCAAAGCTCTGAAAGAATCTCTGACAGAAGATCTGACAGAAGCTCTGAAAGAAGCCCTGCACGGAGCAGAAGATGCAGTGGTGCCCTGCACGGAGCCACCTGTAAACAAGGGAGCTGAGAAGCACCGATGAAGTGACCTGACTACGATGGCCGTACTGAAAATTTAGGACGTTTTTTATGTCGTTTTATAAGTTTTTTAAATTAACATTTAAACGTTTATTATGACGTTTTAAACGTTTTTAGTGACGTTTTCGTATGTTGTTTTTCCTATGTTAATGTTCGAAAGAAATGGAACGTTAATAAGAAAGAGAACGCTCATGAGAGAGAGAACGTTCATGAAGAATAGAACTCTCATAATAAAAAGAACGCTCATGGTCCTTCAATAATGACCAAGTTCAACATTCAAAAGCAGTGCCTTCTAAACTTTTCACCTATTTAAACGAATTAAATTGCCGCAGTTCCCCACTGCGGCAATTTACTACAAATGTAGTAACATTTGTTACTGCAAAATTTGTTACTACAAATGTAGAACATTTGTAGACATTGCTAATTTAATGAAATAGAGAAATTTGCCCCACTTTATTAGATAAATGGACTGAATTTTGCCATAGGATATAATTTAATCACATTTTGGGAAGCATTAGCTGTACTACTCTGACACATTGAGGTCGCACATTTGACCTGCCTGGGACCGTTATTTCGAAAATGGGCAATAGTTCCTAACTCCGTGCGCCAATCAGTGACCGCTTTTACTGCTGCAAACAACTATCACAACCGAGAAATCTGCCGATATGTCCACTTAAGCCGCTACGCGTTCACAGGCCGGGTTCACACCATACACGTGCCAGGCGTATGCCAGTCTCGGTCCAGTCCAATATTCTTTATTGAATCCCATAAGAGCATTCACACCAACCGTGCAAGATGGATGCTGCTATGTATGGTGTGAACCTGGCCTTAGACCACATGTACTGAGGCCGCTGAGCTGGCGATGGGAGTAACTGGGCAGGTGGTGGGTGTAGCTGAGCAGCCGGTGGGTGTAGCTGAGCAGCCGGTGGGTGTAGCTGAGCAGCCGGTGGGTGTAGCTGAAGGTGGTGGGTGTAGCTGAGCAGGCGGTGGGTGTAGCTGAGCAGGTGGTGGGTGTAGCTGAGCAGCCGGTGGGTGTACCTGAGCAGGCGGTGGGTGTAGCTGAGCAGGCGTTGGGTGTAGCTGGACAGACGGTGGGTGTAGCTGAGCAGGCGGTGGGTGTAGCAGGACAGGCGGTGGGTGTAGCAGGACAGGCGGTGGGTGTAGCTGGACAGACGGTGGGTGTAGCTGAGCATGCGGTTAATATTGCACTATTGCTGAGGTGTTTGTAGTTCAGTGTTCCCAACCGTTAGTCCGTGATAGCCTCGGTCTAAATAAAATGCACAGCACTACAAGAGCTGATGGGTAGAAGTTATGTCGTTATTCCTGTCATTTGAAGCAGCTGATGTTGGTAGTTTTAAGAGGTTAGTAGCGGGCCCGCGTCCTGTACAAGAAATATGCACGTTTTTACGAAAAATTTATCTCTTGATCGACAAAGTTGAATAAAAAGACTCGTTATTATCTAACTTAGAAACTCTGTGCAAATGACAGGAACTATGTACATTTTAGCTAACGATGAGCTCCATTACGTTCTAAGTAACTATGAGCTCTAGAAGGAGATGTAGAGATGAAAAGTTCGAAATCACTTATCCTAGTGAATCTCAATCCTTACATAAGAATCTGCGATAATATTTAATAATAGGAAAGCACCATTCTAAACGGTGGTAGCTTGTGCTTGTCAGAATCTGATGGAAGTCGTGGATTTTTGCGGTGTAAAGTAGCCATAGATGTCAGGCCAGAAATCTATCACGTAGCTTTATGACTAAATTAGTCATGCAGCTCTTGGTGTTTTTGACCACATTTTCTGTATGGGATTCTCGAATCAATTGTTTACCCGGATCAGTGAATGGATTATCTCAGCGCAGCCAGCGACTTGCCATTAGCTCCGAACATAAGCCTAACTCCTGAAACACCTCAATTTCTTACAAAAAACTCCCTTTTGTGCGGGTGATTTGTCCCGCAGCTCTCAGGAGACCCGGAATCTGTGGTCCGCAAATTAGTGATGGGATCA